TGGCTGAGAGGCCGTGGCTCGGCACGGGGCAGGGCTCTCTGAGCTCACGGCGCTCTTCTAGAACCGCAGAGCTGCTGGGCCAAGACAGCCCGCGACAGCTGGGGACGTGGGCCAGGGCTGGTGGGCTTGTCGGGGAGGCAGCGACCGACCGTGCATGTGGGGCCAGCCTGGGCCAAGGGGGTGACTCTGCTTGGTCTACACCCCGCCCCCGCCCCACCCCATCTGAGGTGACTTGTCCTGTCCTCAGGGCACTGTCAACAGAAGGGAGACCGAGGTGACAAGGAACCAGAGCCAGCCTCTCGCTGGGAGGCTGTGCTCCTGGCCCCTGGTTCACGCCCACCCCAGGTGGCAGCTGCAACCCCCTCATACCAGCCCAGCCCTCCTGGGCACAGTCCTTCCACCAGCTCCTCCGGGGGTCCTTACGGTGGGAGGGGACAGGCGGGGCCCTCGGCTCCCTGCTGATTGGCAGATGGCAGTGCCGGCCTGGGCCTGGCAAAGCCCTCACAGGTCAGGGCACTCCTGCTGTGCCGAACCTGCCTGCCCGGCATGGGGCTTCTGGCAGCCTGGCTGAGCCCGCTCCGGCCGGCCTCCAGCCCTCTCCCCCTGCCCCAGGACCGGGTGGTCACCACTTCACCTCGCAGCTCTGTGGAGTGTGGCCCAGAGGCTGCACCGGCTCCACCAAGCTGCATGGCAGAGCCGGCCAGGTCTCAGCCCAGCTGTGTGGTGAAAGAGCGAGAGGGCCCTGCCCTCCGGTGGGCTGGGCGGAGGACTCAGGCAACAGCCCCTCATGGCTGAGGGGCGGGTCATGCCTGCCCAGGCAGAAACTCCACTGCCAGCTGTTCAGCTGGACATCCTGGGATGGGCCTGGGTGGGAGGGTGAGGCCGGGAGTCCTGGGTCCTGGCCTGGCCACAGCCTGAGCCCTCTCCGGGCCCACAGCTGTGGGGAGTGGTGGGTACAGCTGACTCCTGTCCCCGGGGCATTAGGACTCCGCCTCCCAGAAGACGTGGCTACCTGGAGGGAGGCCCTGGGAGCTGCCGGAGCGCCAAGGCCACCAGGGCCTGGCACAGCCATAGGCATGCCTGCCCGGGGCAGAGCGCACCTGAAGCTGCCCCAGAGGTGTTGCTGACACCCTCAAGCTCATCCTCCTGTCACCTGCCGGGAGCCTGAGGCCGGGTGTGCGAGCTGGCTGGCATCAGCAGCCGTGCCAAGGGCAGCCGCCCCAGGCCCGGAGCTGCCGGAGCGCCAAGGCCACCAGGGCCTGGCACAGCCATAGGCATGCCTGCCCGGGGCAGAGCGCACCTGAAGCTGCCCCAGAGGTGTTGCTGACACCCTCAAGCTCATCCTCCTGTCACCTGCCGGGAGCCTGAGGCCGGGTGTGCGAGCTGGCTGGCATCAGCAGCCGTGCCAAGGGCAGCCGCCCCAGGCCCGGCACAGCGC